AAAAAAAAAAAAAAAAAGGAAAAAAAAATAAAAATATTTATACCCAAAGAAAAGGGTCTCTTCCAGCTCAAGGATGCTTTAATGTCAGCTTTGTTTTTTAACTATAAATGAAGTGCTTTGAGCAAACCTCAGAGCCTTCAAGTGCATATTTTACCCTAACTAATCTCTTTGCCCCACAAGCTTGACCAAAAGGCAATGATATCCCTTATGATTCTCCTCACAAGAAGAGAACCAAAAAGTGTTTACTGGATGCAAGGCAGTTTGTTTAAGGAGCCAAAAAAAAAAAACATGGCCGGGCACAGTGGCTCACGCATGTAATCCCAGCTCTCTGGGAGGCCGAGGTGGGCAGATCACTTGAGGTCAGGAGTTGGAGACCAGCCTGGCCAACATGATGAAACTAAAGATACAAAAATTAGGTGGGTGTGGTGGCATGCGCCTGTAATACTAGGTACTCGAGAGGCTGAGACATGAGAATCGCTTGAATCCTGGAGGTGGAGGCTGCAGTGAGTCGAGATAATGCCACTGCACTCCAGTCTGGGTGACAAAATGAGACTCCGTCTCAAAATAAATAAATAAATAAAACAAAGATGCAGCCTTGATAAAGAACAAGATCATGACCTTTGCAGGGACATGGATGGAGGTAGAGGCCATTATCCTTAGCAAACTAACACAAACAGAAAACCAAGTACCGCATGTTATCACACACGAGTGGGAGCTATATGAGAACACTCATAGAGGGGAACAGCACACACTGGAGCCTTTCGGAGGATGAAGGGTGGGAGGAAGGAGAAGATCAGGAAAAGTAATTAGTGGCCAGGTGAGGTGGCTCACACCTATAATCCCAGCACTTTAGGAGGACAAGGTGGACAGATCACCTGAGGTCGGGAGTTCGAGACCAGCCTGACCAACATGGAGAAACCCTGTCTCTACTAAAGATAAAAAACTAACTGGGCATGGTGGTGCATGCTTGTAATCCCAGCTACTCGGAAGGCTGAGCCATGAGAATCACTTGAACCCGGGAGGCAGAGGTTGTGGTAAGCCGAGATCACGCCGCTGCACTCCAGCCTGGGCAACAAGTGAAACTCCGTCTCAAAAACAAACAAACAAAAAAAATCTATTGACTCAAAAGCCTGGTAAGCAGCTTTCACTGTTTTCACCAAACCTCACCTTCCATCGTCTTGACCAAAGGTAAATATCCCTTATGATTCACATCACAAGAAAAGAGCCAACTGTTTATTGCATGTAAGGCAGTTTCTTAAAGAAATCCTTTAAAAAATCTGTTGACTCAAAAGCCTTGTGACCAGCTTTCAGAGTATGCACCAGACCTCATCAGAGCCACAACAATAAACCTTCCCATAATAGTCAACTCTGGTGTCCCAGAAGACAGCGGCAGAGCTATGGGTTGATTTATCAGTCGTTACCAACATTCCTACTTGCACACAGTTGGATTTCTTTTCAATACAGCCCAACTTTTTTTTCTGGCCCTTGTACCACGTTCGCTTGCCTGATTTAGTTATCTAAAGGCTTTAGGTGAAGTCAGGAGAGTTTCCAACACTACCAATGATGATTGGAAATGCTGATGGTTCTTTATACCAAATAAAGCCGTCCTCACCGGAATTCTTACAAAGTGAAAGGCCGCAGTCCCAGAGACCTAAAAGCCAGCATCAAGCAGGACAGAGCAGGGCTGAACTTGAGCCTCCTGTTACTCCTTGGGTCCTCTATTTCTTTATTCCTTATCTCTTTTTTTGAGACGGTGTCTCCCTCTGTCGCCCAGGCTGGAGTGCAGTGGCATGATCTCAGCTCACTGCCACCTCCACCTCCCAGGTTCAAGCGATTCTCCTGCCTTAGCCTCCCAAGTAGCTGGGACTACAGGGTGCATCACCATGCCCAGCAAATTTTTGAATTTTTATTATAGACAGGGTTTCACCATGTTGGCCAGGCTAGTCTCAAACTCCTGACCTCAGGTTATCTGCCTACCTTGGCCTCTCAAAGTGCTGGGATTATAGGCATGAGCCACCTCACCTGGCCTCTAGTTATTTTTCCTGATCCTCTCCTTCCTCCCATCCTTCACCCTCCAAAAGGCTCCAGTGTGTGCTGTTCCCCTCTGCGTGTCTGTGTGTTCCCATGTAGTGAGCCACCTCGCCTGGCCACTTTCCACCTTGTCCCTTATCCTTGTTTTCCTTCTCTTCCCTTTCTCCCTATTCAGCTAAAGTCTTTTTTTTTTTTTTTTTTTT